GTAGCCACTCCGACCCTTTACCGAAATCACGGAGCCTCGTGACGCGATCAGCATGACGACTGCCGTAGCCATGCCCTCGATGCACCAGCACCGCCCCCCCTCTGTTCCCATTGCCCTCGCTCCCGCCCCTGCCCGCAAGATCCAGAACCTCTCTCCTGGCAAGGAGAACAGAGTCACCGGCAAGCCCACCTCCAACAACGGCCCCGTCTCCAATATCCGCTCGCGCAGGGAGCGCCCTTGTGACGCCTGCCGGAGAAGAAAGAGTCGGTGTGTGATACACGAAGGTGCTGCCCTGTGTGTCTTGTGCGAGTTTCACAAGCAGGACTGCACCTTTGTACAAAGTCCTCTGCCAAGAAAGCGAAAGGTCGTCGTCGACGCCGACAAGAAGGACTCGCCCAATGCTACGAAGAAGAGGTAGGTTGACGCCTTTCCACTACCCTCCCTTTTCCTCGTCTTGGTCTTGGTCTTGGTGACTTTTCGGTGCACCTGCCTGGCCTCGCGTTCCGATGGTTGGCCATGGGCGTTCCCGAAACCACCGTCACGTGCCCACGTGCGACCGTGGTCCGCGTCCTCAGTAGCCATCTCAGTGGAGCCTTGGTCGTGGTCCAGCAGAGGTCACACTTGGCATCGCGTGTGTCACGTTGCTAAGAAAAGATTCGACTAACATCTCACTCCTAGGTCGGTTGACACAGAGCCTCCACCACTAGCGCTATCAACAGCAAAGATCGCTGCGACCACCGCATCAAGCCCTCCACCATTACCACCCCCACCTCCATCACAGCTGGCCCGGCTGACCAACGTTGACCTTCCGCAACTGGGTGAGACTTTAGGTCTACAACGCCGGCAACATAGTCGGTACATCGGGCTGAGTTCTCCATTCGACTCGTTGCTGATTGGCCTATCCCAATTCGATACCCGCAACGAATCCGCCTTTGATCTGGGTACCCTTCGACGCGTGAACGACCATGAATGTTTCATTATGCTACCCGACGAAAACACACAAGACTATGCTGGCGAAGCCGACGCACTGAATCTTGTCGAGCAACTTGTGCATCCGCATGGCCCTGCTCTTTTGGATCTCTACTTCCAGGTCGTTCATCCTAGCTTCCCCATCATTCAGAAACACCTCTTCGTCGAACGCTATCGCAATGGTGATCGATCCTTTTCACCGGCCCTCTTGGCCGGCATGTACATACTAGCTCTGAATTGGTGGTCCCTGAACCCTAAGCTCGCGAGCTACTCGAAGCCTGATGCAGCTCGGCTAGAAGCCATCGCGATGAAGGCCTTGACCATGGCCATGGAGCGACCGAAGCTGTCGACCGTCCAGGCTGGTTTGCTGCTGCTGCAGAGACCAGAGGCCGACTCGTGGAGTCTAACGACGCAATTGGTGGCGATTGGACAAGAACTGGGCCTGCATCTCGATTGCACGTCGTGGTCGGTGCCACTGTGGGAACGTGGGCTACGCAAGCGAATTGCATGGGCGCTCTACATGCAAGACAAATGGAGCTCGCTGATTCACGGTCGGCCGTCACACATTTTCAATGCCAACTGGGCCGTCAAGCCAATCACCGAGGACGACTTCAACGAACAAGGGGACGGGTACGACACAAAACACGAAGAGACGGAAGACGAGCGGGAAGAGAGTGACAGGGGTCGGATCCTCTTTGCACAAATGATTAGCCTGACGCAGATCATGGCCGAAGTCATGGACACCTTTTACACGCAAACAGCCATTCACGACTTTGCCAATGCGGGCAAGAAGTCTACCGAGTTGATCCTCGCACGCGCCAAGCCGGTGCAAATCAAACTTCGTCAGTGGCACGAGAAGCTGCCTGCGGACGTCAAGATGCAAGCGCCAGCCAAGGGCAAGCTCACCTCGACAGGTACGTTTAGCAATGGGCACACATGCATATTGGCCCTTTACTTACCAATGACAGGTTACCTCCATCTTGCCTACTTTGCCACGGAAATCACTCTCCACCGCCGCATCGTCCAGTCTCTGGACGCGGCGAACCCCGACTCATACGGCCTCTTCATGTGCCGTAATGCGGCAAAGACACGACTGATATCCGCCATGGACTTTGTCAACCGGCTCAAACCCGAGCACCTCCAAGCCTTTTGGTACTTTGCCTCCAAGGTAAACTTCACCCTCATCGGCACCTTTGGCTCCCTCCTGTGGGCCACGGCCCCAGCCAAGGAAGAAGCAGAATTCTACAAGCTCCGGCTGCGCGAATACCGCTGGACCCTCTCCGTCTCGTCCAAGCGCGCAGACTTTCTCGAGTATGCCGTCTCCATGCTCGATGCGAGCCGGGCCATGCTCAACAATCTGGCCGAGAAGCCCAGCCTGGCTGAGCAGATTAGCAATGCGGGTGTGCCGCCGGCAGCGCCTCCACGACAGTACTCGTCGTTTTCGTCGTCGCACATGGCGCAGCAGCAGCAGCAGCACGAGTTTGCGCGGTATGACTGCGAAGATGTCGACATGGATGACGACAATGATCTCCAGCGCATGTCGTCTGGCGAGAGCTTCGAGGGCTTCAACGATGGATCGCAATATGGCAGCCAACCACCGAGCCGGCCACACACGGCCGGTAACTCCCCCCACTCAGGCTGATCCTCTTTCTTTTCCTTTTGCATCACGCTTTTCTTCTTCTCCAACCGGCGGTGTTCTGCAAGACCTCGTTTCCCATCCTGCGCAACGCAGCATAGATTTTTCTTTCTTCATTCATCTTCCCTGATTTCTTTCTTTCTTTCTTCCTTCCCAGTTCTCCAAAAAAGGGCTTCACGTCTCTTTTTGCCTTTGTTGGTCTCCCACTCTGCCCCCCTTTGTTATTTTTTGAAAAATCTTGGGTTTTTCTGCTGCGGTCTTTGTATCCGAGGCATATATGCACTCCTGAGAAGATCGTTTCTTTTTCTCGCCAGGAAAAAGGGAGAGGGGAGGCGAGGGAGGCATAGGGCGGGTTGCGTTTATACCTCCGCCGTGGGCAGATTGCGTGAGAATCGCGCCATATTGCGACGTGCGTTGCTCCCACACCACACCACACCATACCCCCCCTCCCCTCCTGGCCTCTTTTTTTTTTCGCTTCGCTTTCACGTATGTACTTTTCATCACTTTTGGCACTTGAGCACTTGAGCACTTGAGCACTCTGCGACTTTTAGCGCTGTTTGGACTTGGGTTTGAAGGCTGCGCGGATTATGATGCTATGTTGGGATGATATCTTAGACTTGATGCTTTTTTTTTGTTTTGTTCTTCTTTTTGGGGTTCGAGGGGGAGGGGAGGGCGGTTTAGTGGGGTGTTTTTGCAAAGGATGGGATAGGATGGGATTTACGATGCTATGTTGGGCTGGATATTGGGGAGCTTGTTGAATGTTGAATGGTTATTGCTCACTGGACCCGATGCGTGTGGGCGTGGGCGTGGGCGTGGGCGTAGGTTGTAGCGGGGGAAATTAACAAGGGATTATGAATGATTATGAATGATTTCAATCTGCCTTTTATGCATGTGGTTATGTGTGAGGAGTGAGGAGTGAGGAAGTAAACAAGTCCCTGTCCCATCTCCTGTCCCCTCTGACTACACTACCACCACCACGCCTTGACCACCACGACATCATACAGCCCATCTCCCTTGACTAGAAGCAGCAGAAGAGAAGAAGAAGAAGAAGAAGAAGAAGAAGAAGAAAAAGAAAAAGAAGAAGAAAAAGAAGAAGAAGAAGAAAAAGAGTGCGTCAACTGATTGCCACACTACTCAAGAAGAACACAGCACATCACATCACCCAAGCCAAATCAACAAATTAAAAAGGTCAAGATAGGTCAAGATCAGGTTTACGTCACCGTCATGCGTTATTTCAGGTTGAAATTGCATTGGGAGAGAATAACCGCCACACCAGCCCTCAACCTCACCACAGTACTTTCTCCACACCCCCAAACCCCCAAACCCCAAGAATCAGCTACTATACCAACCACAAACCACAAACCACAAACAGCAAAACAAGCAAAAAAAAACAAAACCACCATAGCACAAACGCAGCGCTCCAAAGCACGAAACCCACTACCCGTCCGGCTTGCAGCCCCTGATTGGTACAAGTACTCATTAGTCGTGAAAAAACAGAGGTCAAACAAAGACGACGGTTACACAATGCAAATGCACATGCAAATGCAAACAATAAAATGCAAAACACTCCACCATTTCCGTTTCAGAATTGCAGGCATGAAAAGTGCATCACCACCGCTCAGTACTCAGTCCCTCCTCTACGAGCGCCAAATCCGCCATGTCCTCTTCTTCCGCGGCATCTGAAAGCTCTCCTGACTCATAGGCTCCCCACGACCACTATAACTCCGCCGCTCGTCGTCAAAACTTCCGTCCTCGTCCTCGTCCTCGTCGTCTTCATACCTGCCGTCGCCGAGATACCTGGCGCCCACGCCAGCGCTGCCATTGCGTTGCGGGTAGCTTGGATACGGGTTTGTCCGGTCGTAACCGCCGCGTTGGGGCTGGGCGTACTCTGCGCGCTCGACCGGCTTGGTTTGGTATTCCGAGCTGATCGAGGGCTTGCGTTCGGCAATCGGGTGCATGGCTGGGTGGCCGCGGCTACCAGGTATGGTGCTCGGGTACGTCTTGCCGTCGCGTCCGCCGCTGGAGAAGTAGTCGCCACCTGCGATGTCGTTGCGAGCTTGCATGCCTGCTGGGCCATCGCGCGAGTATGGCGAGCCAGGGCCCGCGCCGACGACGGCTGGGTGCGGCGGGTACGACTCGCGCTTGGAGCGTTTTGTCGAGGGTGTGTGTGCGAGAATGTGCGCCTCATGCTCCCACTTCTTGTCGTGAGAGTGCTGGTTTAGAATGCCGCCCATGGACCGTCTGTGTACCTTGGGGTCGTCATATTCAGTTCCCGCAGCTGGAGCTGGAAGCTGCGACTTGTGCGACGAGTTGTAAGTCGGGTTCTTGCGAGTGGATGCGGAGCGGGATGGGAGGACCACCGTCTGGCTTGCAGTCTTGGTCTGAGGCGGCGGGTGTTGAGGAGCGCTTACGTGTCTCTTCGCGGAGACAGATTGCCATGCAGAAGCTCTTGCTCCAGTTCCTGCATCCGCGTCCAGGCTCTGCCTTCGGCCCTGACCTTGTACTGCCCCATTGCGAGATCCATGTTGCACCTGCTCCGACCCTAAGTTCTCAGCTGTATTAGAATGGTAACCAGAACTCAATTGCTTATCAGTGGAAGGAGCTCGGGTAGAAGGAGTGGGCTTGTTCTGGGAGTCAAACGCTGGGACTCTGGGCGCGACCTTGTACTTCTGCTCAGCACGCCCTTCTCCCTCTTCATCCGTCATCTCCCCAAGATCACTTCCGCTCTCACTACCAGACATGGAGTAACCGTCGTCGCTGATCCTTTTGTTTCTCGCACGTTTACTGCCGCTGCCGAAGCCACCAAAGATGCCCTTCGACTTGCGGCCTTCCTCCAGCGTTCCAGGCGCAGGTTCTGCATAACGGAGGACTGGAACAAGAAGACGGTATGGCACGGTGATGCCTGCTGGATCATGCTGCGAGACTTCCACGTTGAGAGAAATGTCTAGTCCGCCTTCAAGATCAATGAACTCGCCATGTTGCTTCAGTGCTTTCTTGCCGAGTACACTGGGACGACGGTGGAAGTTGGAGGGTCGACCCTGTGAGACACTGTTGCGAGTACGAGGAGGTGAGAGGCTTCGATGTGATTCTGGACGTGTATAATCCGTCGATGTACGACGTCGGAACAAAGAAGACAGCGAGTTGCGGCGCGAACGAGTTGGTCTTTCGGGCTCAGATCGGTCGGGCGAGAACGAGGACTGAGGTTGACCGTGAGTTGCCACCTGATCCTGATCCGCAGCCGCGTACGCAGGGTTATTACGAAATGCTACCGGTGGCCCGCGGCTTCGTGCTGAAGGCCGTGTTTGACCACTCAATCTTCTGACCAGTTGTCCAGGCGCAAAATCAGAAAGTGCCCGCGCGAGACGCGGACCAGCGTCTGGCGTTGTAGGCGGTGAAGGTGTCACTGAACGACTTGATTCGGGTTGGTATTCTCGTATGCTGCACCAGTTCCGGTGCGGAAGCAAATGAGTGTTGTTTCGTTTCTTTCCGTCTACACCATGCGTGAAGAGTCCAATCATATCCTCGTCTGTACATGAGTCGAGATGATGGATCTTGTTGCGCTTGTTGATGATGTCGGCCATGACATCTGGGGGTGGTGTGTTGACAATGGCCGAGGACACGACATTTGGCATGTACCTATGATCCTTGTCCTTTGGAATGTTGAGCTTTTTGTTCGAGTAAAATTGTCCAACACCTGCGAGGTGGACATCTCCTCCCAGAATGGTAATGCGAACCGATTTCGTCGAGGCAATATGTTGTAGCTCACGAACTAGCCAGTTGCGCTCTTCTTTGTGATGCTTGGCGGTCCAGTGATCGTCCAAGTCGTCCAAGATCTCAACACCACCATCGAATTTGTTGATCAAGTTACCCAGCAATCCAGCACGTCCAAGGGCTTTCAGAGGGTCCATGAGTCGGCTAGTCAAGATATTCTCGAGAAAGTTCAAGCGAGGGTAAGCGATGGGCACACCCAGGAGGACGATGAGATGCTTCGTCTCTCCCTTGATGATTTCGTCTTCCAAACGATCGAATATAATGTCGTAGGAGTCCTCGGTGAGAATTTCATCACGTTGGCGTTCTGTGCGACAGTCGAGGCCCAGGAAAGCAACGCTGCGACCCAAATTCAGGAAGACGCTTCTGGAGCGTTCCCTTATGTACGGACCTGGGTTCTTGCCCAAGACCCATGAGGGTTCAGTCTGTTCAGTTTCGGTGGGCAGAGACTGGTGTTGGAAGAGCATGTAGTACTTGAAGGCCACAGCACCGACTCCGGTAAAAACAGGCGTTTCCATGAAATGATGTGGATAAGAGCCGAATCCCTGAAGACTTTAGTAGGATCAATGAAAATAGTAGGTGATAGCTTACGTCAATGATGTCGTGATCATCCCAGATATTGACCATCGGTATCTGGGAGTTCGCCAAGCCGAACATGCCTTGCGAAAACCACATCGAGTATCGGTCAAGGTAAAACTGTTCCAATTCGTTCTGCATCTCTTCGGAGAATGGTTCATGATGCTTTTGCAATGGATTCCTGCTCTCGGTCCATCTCCTGAAAAGCGTGGTGTGGTGCATGGCAGCATCATTGTAGATTTGATCTCCTCCACCAATCATCACATGAAAGGGTCTTGATTGGTGAGAGTTCAACACGTCACGCCAAAGCGGGTCTGGTCCACAAAACTCATCCGGGTCAACACTAAAAGAGAAGCCATTGCAGCTGTAGAACATGATGTTCATAGATTCACCTTTGGCAGGCACCCAGAAACCAGTAGCAGGGCCACGGTTGATCTTGTAAGCGACGCGTGTTTGAGTGCTTCCCAGCTCAATCTCAAGACTGAATCGCCAAAAAGTGACACCGCGCTCAGCATGCAGGCGTACCCCAGGGATATCGCGCAACTTTCCGAGCTTCTCACCATCCTTTTTGTGAATCCGAGTAGACTTGGCTCCCGATCCACTTGTTCCATGTGTACTCCGACTATGCGAGAACAGGCCGCTCTCGTCTTCGATACGTGAAAGATCCTTGTCCTCGGCAATATCATCAATTGGCTTGACGTAGAGCGTTCTCCCGGTACGTGAAATCTTGGTTTGACCTTCGATAGGATCTATGTAAGAAGGATCGAGCTGATCGACATCAACCTCTTCTGGAGGTGGCGGAAGAATATCCATGGGCTGCTTGAACACTCGCAGGGTGGGTGGCTTGTTGTACGAGGATTGGGCATCTGTCGTGACAATCATAACGCTTCCTCGCCAGATCTCGCGGTCCTGCCCCGAACTACTACGCTCTCTCCTGAGACCAGTATAACGCAAAAGCGGCCCACACTTGAGATATAACGGAGGGGTGAAGGTAGTCGGCTCCGAAGGCTCATCGGCATAGCCATCGAACGTCCGTTGAGCATAGCTTCCAGAGCTTCGTCGACGAAAGGATTGGGTTTCTTCCCACCATGCTTTGTTGCCGCTATGCGAAGTGACTGGGGCGTTCAGATCGAGATCATCAGCTGTCAAGGTTGCAACTTGTGCCTTTTTCCATTCTTCTAGCACGGGAGTCGCCGTATACGTGCGTTCCGGCTGGTCATGGAGACTAAAGTACGAGTGATGGCGGGAATCATGGGATGTCTTTTGCTGTAGTTCGACTTCAGGGTCCATGAAGCCAACACTCTTACGATTGCCAGGAGCCAAAAGAGGATCGGGCGACGGGCGTAGCGTGCTGACGGGCGAACGGATGATCCCCTTGTGGTCTATGCGCTGCTGCTGCATCTCCATTTGAGCTGACATGATGCCTCTGCTATCTCGGCGCGACCTGCTATCCGAACGCGTGATTTCGGCACCAACAGAGGCGTCGTCTACACCCTTTAGACCGAGCCCAGCGGCAGGGGACACTGACTTTCGCTGCACATTCTGCATGGCAGATGCTGCACTCCGATCACGGAAGCTGCCTGATCCTCGTGCCACGCCGACAGGCTCTTTACCTTTGAGACTGGCGTGCGGTGGTATGGCTGCATCCGTATGCGACACATTCTGATAGCCTGGAGACAGACGACGTTCTTTCTGGGATGTCACTCGCTGAGAAGGAGTGATGCTTTGTCGTGCGGCAGGATCCCAAGGCTCACTAGCATCATAAGTGTATTCCTCCTCGGTTTCCAAGTCTCCCATCTGAGGCGACATGGACTTGCTCTGTATGGGTGCAGAGACATGACGCTTCGAGCCGCTGGTTCGAACGGGCGCCCCCACAGGCTTCTCTGCTCTTTGCGCTGGCTGGGACACGATCCGCTGCTGTCTCTCTGCAGCCTCACGCGCTCTTCTTGCTCGTGCCTCCGCCTCGACC